AGGTATTAGGTATTAGGTATTAGGTTGCGCACCACAGCAGCTTCACATGCGCACACACACACACACACACACACACACAGACACACAATCACTCGTTCTTTGCGTGACAAACATTTTTTACTCCTATTCTTACTTAGGATTTATTTTCTCACTCACATTATATTTAATTTAATTTAAAGCTCTTTTAAATCAAACTGGGCCTTTCTAATAACCACTCCAAGCTTTTCGTTAAACAGGCAGTATGCACACAGCCTCACACACACCAACACACAGACACACACATACACTCACTGGCCACTTTATTAGGTACACATTGGTAGTACTGGGTTGGACCCATTTTTGCCTTCAGAACTGCCTTAATCCTTTGTGGCATAAATTCAACAAGGTGCTGGAAACATTCCTCAGAGTCTGGTCCATATTGACATGATAGCATCACACAGTTGCAGCAGGTTTTTCAGCTGCACATCCATGATGTGAATCTTCTGTTCCACCACATCCTAAAGGTGCTCTATTTTAGGGGTTCCCAAACTTTTACACACCAAGGCCCCCCAAACAACATTAAATTCTGGCCGGGGACCACCTTGCAAACTGACAAAAAAAAATGCAACAATATATGTAAAGAAACAACTTTATAGAATATTATTTTTCTTACTTTTATTCACTATTGAATAGCTGTAAAGCCATACTTAATGTATGCTGCCTCATACTTCCTAATTTTATTTGGCCAGGAGTTCTCGTGTATTTTTTTTATCAGTGTCCTCCATAGCAGGGCTGCTGGTCAGTTCAATTGGCCTTTTTTTGTTTCAAACTTGTCCATTGCTATGCTAGCTTCAGACTGAACAAACTCTGTCACTAACTTCAGGAGAACTGCCACCAGTTGTTGTCTGGGTGCCAGTTCTCACAAGTTTAGTACTGAAAGTGGGCACAAACCTGGTACAACCACAAAAAAGAGAGTTCGATAGTTGCAGCAAAATATAAGGCATTCTTGCCAAAAAACAAAAACGTTGTGTAAATATCTCTAAAAATGGGACAGCAAATTTATAAATAAATTAATTTAATAAATAAATGTACTTTACTTCCCTTTTCTTTTTTAATTTAGTCTCTATTATAACATA